CTCCCTTCCCCTCCGGGCTCACACCCTTACCTACTTCTTAGAGCGTCGCATCTGCTGTCGTTTTGCCCCTGCAAAGAATACGACAGGGACCATTTTTCTGCAGAACTTTACAAAGCTCATCCTGTGTGATTAAGATCCAGAAAGAATCAGCTTAGGCTTCTTCCTCCCTCTAGCCCCTCAGGATGAGCCTGCCTCCCTTCTGCCTCCTTTCCCACCCTCCTCCCTCTCCCTCTTTGCTCTCCCTTGAAATCAGAGTAAATATTTGCAGTGTTTTCACCTCCTGTGGATACTGTCTCTCCTCACAGTAGGCTCAGTTCTGCCTCTTTCACCTTAGGCTTCCTGTGAGAGGAAAAGAAAAAGAACACAAGAATACTGCCTGCTTCCAGCACTGGGTCTGTCACAGGGAGGCAAGGAAGGCAGGTTGGGGAACTTAGTGGGGAATGGAGAGATGGGACAGGAAGGGGGTTAGGGGAGCTGATGACAGTTCTCAGCCCAGACCACCTACTCAGGAGCTGTGAAGGTAAGCTCCAGCCCATGTGCCTCAGGTGGAAAGAAAGGCTCCAAATGTTGTCATCCTTTCCCATCGTGACTGATTTGCTTGGGATTATTACTGAAATAATTCCACGACTCTTTGCTGCAGAGACTGGGTTTTCTAAGCCAAGTGAACTGGAGATCAAGTAAGGAGGTCTAGCAGTGGACAGAGAGAGGGGAACATTTTTAATGGAAATTTTAATTGGAATAATTGTAGATTCACATGTAGTTATAAAATTTCATATCCAGCATATGGACATTGCTGCAATCCACCAATCCTATTCAGACTTCCCCAGTTTTACTTGTACCCGTGTGTGTGTGTGTGGTGTGTGTGTGTGTGTGTGTGTGTGTGTGTGTGTGTGTGAAGTTTTATACAGTTTTATCACTTATGCAGGTTCACATCCCCCATCTCAGTCAAGGTACTGCACAGTTCCAACACCATAAGGGTCCCTCCCTCTATATCTTTTATAACCACACCCCCCTCACTCTATGTCTACCCCGTCTCTAACCTCTGGCAACTATTTATCTGTCCTCCCTTTATAAAACGTTTTCATTTTTTTTAATGGTATATCAATGGGCTTATACAGTAGGCAACCTTTGGAGATCGGCTTTTTTCATTTCATGTAATTCCTGGAGATTCATTTAAGTCGTGTGTATCAATAGTCCATTCCTTTTCCTTGCTGAGCAGTATTCCCTGGTATGGATGCATCCCAGTTATGGTTAACAGTTTGCCTGTTGAGGGACATCGGGTTATTATAAATAAAGTTGCTGTTAACAGCCATGTGCAGGTTTTTGTGTTAACATAAGTTTTCATTTCTCTGGGATAAATGCCTAAGAGTGCAATTGCCCATGTTCTCTTTTGGCTTTCTCCTTTCTCCCTCTTTTTCCTTCTTCTGCCTCTCCCAGGGTAGAAATGTCAATACTCATGGTCCAAGGGCACCTGCCAGCCAGATAGCTAGGAAGTGCTTCATCGTGAAACCCTTCTCGGGGCTGACAGAATTCTTGAGCTTATTAGCCTGAACCTGGAACTGTGCCCAGGGTGGCAGAATCCTCCATCCAAACCTCTCCTCCAGCCCTGGAATATCTACAGCTGTTGGAAATGCGACTTCCTGGGCTTTGCTCATCAAGTTGAAAACTTGTCTGAGTGGAGGTGAAATTCAGGGAAGGAGGAGAGGGGTGTGATGGAAGCAGTGTTGGGAGTTTGGAAGACCTGAGCTGAAATCTTGCCCTGGACAAGTCACTTCCTCTCACATCCTCCATTTCCTTGTCTGTAAAATAGCCTAGATGATCCCTACATTCTCCAAACTCTTACACTGTACTCATGTTCATGGAAGAGAAGGAGGCTGACCAGTCCACACAAGGACTGAGCCCATCACAACGGCTTTATTAACGTGGATTTCTGACCGACTGTGTAGGATCATCTTCCTTCCTGGGCCATCACAAGCCTTGCTTGAGCAAATACTCAGTGAGAAGCTCTGTGCTAGGTGCTGAAGATAAAAATATGCATAAGTCACAGGCTCTGGCCCTCAGGGGCTCAAAGTCAAGCCAAAAGTCCTCACCAAATTACATATGCTGGGTATGGTTCTATAAATACATTACAAACCTCTTTATCCTGTGTGGGAAATGATTAAATGATATAGTGCATTTGTTATGACAATCTGTTGCTTTAATAGCGCCCAGGGTAAGATAAGATTAAAAGGAGTGCCACAAAGGAGAGCAGGAGAATCTTTCATCTCTAGAAAGTAATGAAGACAGACCCCAGATACAAGAATGGTCCAGCTGTAAGTGGTGCAATCAAATTATATAAGGCTAAAATGAGCTTGACACAACTGGATTTCCATATGCAGCTCTCAACACCCAGTACTCGCCCAAAGCAATAATAGCCACATCCTCAAATGATGAAGAACTTGCTTGAATGTAGACATTGAGCTGAGGGGAGGGCTGGAGCAGGATCCCCAGGAAGGAGAACTGTCCTGCACCTGGAACGCATGTTCTTCGCTCAGAGAGAAGAGGCATGGTAGGGCTTACTTACCATCCTTTCTCTCCCTGCTTCCTCTTTTTATTCTCCGTCTAGAGGAGAGTTCTTCCTCCGTTTTACAGGCAGATCTTCTAGGCCCAAGTGCTGACCTCTTCGCCATATTTAGAAACCAGGGGAGGTCGCTGAATTGTCCCTGCAAGGACACAGTGGTCACAGGGGGACTTCCCAGGGAACAATAGCTATCGCGTGTTCTTTGTGCTTCTGTTGACAGCCTAAATCCAAGTCCCTGGCCTCCTTTTAGCAGATGAGCCAGCCCAGGAGGACACTTGGAGGGGACACTTCCCCATGCTGGGGAGAAGGTCACAAGAAATGAAAATTGCCACCATTTTCCAAGGACTCCTCTGTTCAGAGTCCATGCTGCAGTTAAACGTGGATTTTCCCGGAGGCAGGAGGAAGGATAGGTTTGTGAGGCCCAGAATAGGTTTGTGAGGCCTTGTGGGCTCTTCTTCCTGCAGCTGGGTCTAGATCCACAAGAGTCCATACGTGAAGCTGCATTGTTTTTAAACCAGCAGGAAGCCCTCTACCCGTCCCTTCTCCCTCCCTCCCAGAGCCTCTTTCCTCTTAGGCCTCACGCTGTGGCTGTGCTGCTGTCATAGTGACAAGTCAGCCTGTGCAGTGTGTCCGGCCTCTCCCACTGCCTCTGCAAGCAAGAGAGATGAGTTTGTGTGGTTGAGGTACCGTGCGACCCTCGCACAGGACACTGCAGAAGGTCTCCAAGGATGGAGCTGGGAGATTCTCAGCTAAAGCCAGGGTGGTGTATGGAAATGTGCTCCATCCTCTCCTCTCTCACACCCACATTGGGCCCCTTGTCACACGCACGTGCACCTACACTCGTTCCCACAGACATGCACAGCAAAATATACATGTATAGACACATCCCAAAGACAGACATGCACTTGTAAATTCTTCTATTGATTTACAAGTTATCAAGCACTGGGGATATATCAGTGAACAAAACAAAAACCGCTGCCCTCAAGGAGTTTACATTCCTGTAGGGAA